CAGTCTGATCTTGTCACTTTGCAGCCTCACCCCAGCCCCCATTAAAACGACTCGAGGTTCCCAGCTGTGACTGGATACAGTCCGATCTCACCAGCTCTGTGCCTGACCTGATTCCGGCCACCTCAAATTCCCAACGTTGTGCCCTCACTCGTTTCCAGGTCTTTCTCTCAGGTACTCCCCACTCCCTCCCTCACATCCCCTATCTATCTGCACCATGGACTATCTTCCTTGAAGTCAGTTCAACCTTCACTGTCCAGCTGGGAGGAGCCCCTGTCCCCTTTGTCTGTCCCCTTTGCCTGTAACTGCCTGTGTCACATGAAGGTATAATTTCTTGTCATCTGTCTCCTTCCCACAGGGCCCCTTGGACTTGCTTTTCTCCCTTGCCCTGAGAACAGGGCCTGGCCTACACACACATCCCCTCCTTTCTACAACCACTGCTACCTCCAGCATACATCCCCTGAATCCAAATTCTTCTCTTCAGGGGCACGGCTCCCAGCCGCTCCCTCTAGATAAGGACAGCAGCCATTCCTGTGGACCACTTTCCCTGTCTCTCTGCCGTGCTTAAAACCCTTCAGTGGCGTCCCTTTGTTCTCAGGATCAAATCGTTGTCATTAGCATGGCACTCAAGGCTCTGTCTGACCTTGCCTTACTATAAAATCCAGCAGAGGAGAGAATAAGAACACTGTGGAGAGGTAGAGGAGACTGAGGGGCAATTGGCTTACAACTCAAAAAAGTGTGAGGGAACATTGTTTGAGAATCCATTTTCTGTTTACATGTGGAGTGTGTTCCAAAAATTTCCTGCCTATCGGGGATCTGGGTGGGCTGAATATTGATGGTATAGCTGGTGGTTCCCAGACTTGTGAATTTCACCAGCAAGTAGATTTTTCTTTTCCTTTCTTTTTTTTTTCTTTTCTTCTTTCTTTCTTTCTCTTCCTTCCTTCTTCCCTCCCTTTCTTTCTTTTCCTTCCTTCCTTCCTTCCTTTCCCCTTCCTTTCTTCCTTCCTCCCTTCTTTTAATTTAGGGACAGATACAGTTGCCAACTTTTTATTTTGCAAAATAAGCTCATTAAACCAAACACTACCATCTCTTCGTGAAATAAAGGACTTTTGTATACCACACAAAAATCCATGATTTCAGAATAAAGGTCAGTACTCTAACTTTTGCGGGGGTGGGGGGGGGAACTTGCCACAACAACCACATTTTTCTTATTTTGCCTGGGACCGGTGAAGACTCTTGTCTGAGGAACTGTTGCAGCCCCGGGTGCTCCCCTCCCTGCAGCGTGCTGCTTGCATTCCCGTGGCTACGCACGGAGTCTTTGTCTCGAAGCCTGCCTGCACCGTGGGGAGTAGGAGTGGAGAGTGTGGCGTCCCTCTCCCACCTGCTATGGAACCAGGCCCCTCAAACCAGTCTGATTTGAGGGATTAGAGCCCAAAGCTGTGGGAGGAGAGAGGATGCTGCCGAAGGGCTTCTGAAGCCATGGGCATAGCTGAGCAGCCTTGGGACCCGGGGCCAAAGGGTGAGCTTGAGTTGGGGCAAAGACTTTGTCCATGACCCTGCTGGCATGTGAACTCCCTCTCTACTCTGGTGCCCCACAATCAGTGGTGGTGGCGGTGGGGGGGGGGAGGTTTACCAGGAAATGACAGTCCTGCCATGGACAGTGGTGCATCCCAGATGAGTACCTTCAACAGCAAGGAGGGGTTTGTGATAGTGACATACAGCTGTTTTGGAAGTTAGAACACATCTCTTGAAGGATATGGTGTGCCGTGGGGGCGGGGGGCAGAAGGTTGGGAAGTGGTGGAACGACAGGCTAGCCCTCAGAAGCCTACCTCAGGTCAGGGGCAGCCATCCCAGCCCCATCCATGCCTCTCCTGTACCCCCAGGCCAGCCTGTTGGCCATTTGTCTGGGCCCCACTTTCCTGTCTGGGTGAGAGCTGAGGAAAGGTGGGCATTTTGGGAGAGGAGCTTGTCAGGCCACATGGCTTTCCAACTGGTAACAATTTTAAGGAGAGAAGAAGTTCAGGAAGGTGCAAAGAGTAGCAGGAGGGTGGAGTCAAGGGGCTGGTGTGGAATCCAAGGTGGGCTTGGCCAGGAGTTGGTCCCAGCACCCACGTGCAGTGGTAGCAGGGAGTGTCTGTATGTCTGCACATATGGCGCGGGATGGTGGTGCATAGAATCCCAGTTTCTAAGCGTCAAATTTCCTGTATGTAAATCAACTCCACGTTCAACTGCAATGTAGTGGAGTAGCAGCTACCTGACTGAGGGGCTCACCAACTTGTGGGTGGGACCTCAGCCTGGCAGGATCAGGGCCTCCGTGCCATCAGCCCTCCGAGACTCACACTAACCTAACTTATAAGAGACTGAGAGACAAACTGGATCCCAAATGAGTCATTTTAATAGGGAGAGTTATCTGATATAGTAAATAACCTCAGACACTTGCAGTATTTTGATTAATGGCTTCTTTTTCTTTTTGAATGGGTGGTTTTTGGCACATGGTAAGCATCATCCTTTTCTGTTGGTTCTGATTCCTAGGTCCTCTCCAGTACTCATCCCCTGCTTGGGAGGAGCACATTCTTAAGTCCCACACCATCGCCTGTTCATCCTTGTCATGGCTCAGTTTACTAGAATGAAGGCTGGCAAAGTTTTTTCTGGAAAGGGATACGTGGTAGATACTGTGACTTTGCAGGGTCCGTGGTGTCTGTTGCAACTACTCATCTCTGGTGTGGTAGTGCAAAAACAGAAATGCATGGGTTTTGGCTATTCCTACAAAACTTCACGGACCCTGACCTTTGCATTTTGTATTATTTTTCCCATGTCACAAAATAACCTTTTGATCTTTTAAACCACTGAAAAACGCAAAAACCACTCTTAGTTTGCAGGCTGCACGAACAGGCAGGTGGGCTGGATTTGGCCTACTACCCTGAGGCGGAGAATAGTTTTGCTGCGTTGTTACATTGTGGCCAGTGGTTTAGCTGGTGGGATCTGGGCATCTCTACTGAGTGCTTAGCAGGTAAAGTTCCAGTTGGGTGTGACTCTCCACTGCCTGGTGACTGCCTTTTCCTCACCTCCTCATGCCTCCCCAGTGTGGAGGAGTAGATAGGTGCTAGGGTTTGTCCCTCAGAGGTTGCAGGGACTTTCCAGACCATGACGTCTGGTGCCCTCCTGGTACAGATGGGGCCACTGAGGCCAAGGCACCAGGGAATGGCCCAGAACACCCCTGAGTTGCTGGGAAAGTTGGGGCCAACTTGCAGCATGGAATTCATAGCTCAACTTTGCAGTAACCATATTTCTTTAGCTGTTCCAGGACTAAGTTCCAGGACTAACAAGACCACTTCTGTGCTCACTCTGTCTCAGGTCACGCACTTTTCACCATATCAGTTAATCCTCCACACAACCTTATTGGCTCCAGCCATGATCTCAACCCTGTTGGGCTCCAAAGCCCATGCTCTTAGCCATGCACTCACTGGGGTTCCCTAGGGGTCCTCCTGCCTCTTTGACACTGTGGGACTGTAGCTGGTTAACTCCCCAAATTCAAAGAACCTTCATTTTACTCCTTTTCCCTTATTAATTATTGAGGTGATACATGAAGTTGTGAGAAATACAAAATAGGGGTAAAATGCCCAGACTATGCCGCGTATATAGTGTGTGTTCAGTAAGGACTAGCTATTTCCGTTAATTCTCCAGCTAGTTAGTGTCACAGAATAAGTACTGCCTGGAAATTAAGGTATTAACTCACTCTTTATACGTTTTGCTTTGCCAGCCGCAGGATTCAGAGCACACCGGCTGGCAGGGGCAGGCTCGACGCCGCCGCTCTGCCACTCTGGAGAGCAGTGGGGCTCACTCTTTGTCCTGGAAAGCCGGCTGCAGCTGGAGCCCTTCTTGAGGGTGTTCACATCAAAGGCTGCGGCGGGCATTCTGCTGTTGAAGGCAGTGTTGGAATCTGATTTTGCCCAGCCCTGGAGATGGACTCGGTTTGCGGGGCTTTATGGGAAAGGACTGCAGCGCGTCTGTCGATCACCGAGCACAGCGGCGCTGCAGATGTGAACTTGCGCTTTCAGCGCATTCGTCAAAGCCTGAGGAGAGCTGACCCCATCTCTCCCACTCATCCCCCGCCCCTGCAACCCCCGGGCCCGCGGCGCTGCGGCTCCAACCCCCTCCCCTCCAGCGTGCCCTGGCGCCCCCGCCCTTGGACTCATTTCCTCGAGACGTGCCGCTGTTTGCCAACAGCGGGCAGCCACGAAAACGGCTTTCTTTCATCTCCGGACGGGGTTGCACTACAGTTTCCCGCAGGGATCGGCGAGGGGCCGGGCAGCCAGCCCAGTGAAAAGCGAGCTCAGCCCCAGAGACTGGGGCTAGAGCACGGGTGCTGAGTCCCGGGGCCGCAGCTGGAGGGGCTCCCAGGGAACAGCCTTTTACCGGGAGGACGCCAAGTCCAGAAGGGGAAGAGCCCTGTCCAAGGTCACCCGGCTGGCAGAGCGCACCTGCCGTGTGCGCCGCCTCGGGTCCTGCTCCGGGCCGGGAGGAGTCTGGCGCGCCGAGTGGAAATCCCCGCACGCCCTGGCCGCCCGCGCCTCCGGCTCCTCTGCCCCTGTGGACACATTGCTTCGGGCCCGCAGGCTCGCCTCCGGAGCACTGGGGGGGAAGTGGCCCGCGGGCAACTCGCAACGCGCGGGCTCTCGCCCCAACGAAGGCCACCCCACCCTCCGGGGGCCACGCGCCCCGCCCCTCGCGCACGAGCCCGCCCCCAGGCTGAGGACCTGCCCCTCGCTCAGCGATCCCGCCCCCGAGGCTGCAGGCTGGCTCCGCCCTCCCGCCACAGTCGCAGCCCCGCCCCACCTCACCCGGCCCGGCCCGGCGCGCCCCCAGCGCGCCCCCGGCGCCAGCGCCTGTGCGCCAGCGCTTGTGCCCCTCCTCCGCCTTCCCGGGGCTGGGCCGCGCGCGCCGGCTCTGGGCGGGGCCCCGCGGTGGCGGCGGGACTCCTCCCCCTGCGGCTCCTCCTCCTCCTCCTCGGTCCCAGCGCCTCCCGGGCCTCCCTGACCTCCCCCTCCGGCGCTCTCGCGCTCACTGCGCTCCTCCGGCGCCTGTCCGCCCGCGCTCCCAGCCATGGTGGTCTGGCGCTCGGTTTTCCTCCTCTGCCTCGCTTTCTCCTTGGCCACTCTGGTCCAAAGAGGTAAGGCGGGCGGGGGGCGCGCGGGGACCCCGCCCTGTGGGCCGCAGGGCGGGAGCTCGGCGCCCCGCGGCCCCGTGCTGCGCATGAGCGGCCCGGACCCCGCCTCGCGGGCCTGCGGCGGAGGCTGCGGGCGGGTGGGCGGGGCTGTGCGGGGCAGTGGGGGTGCGAACCCCGGGCCCGCGGGGACTCTGACCTTGCCGTGATCCGTGTGGTCGGAGATGGGGGACCCAGCTAGAAACAGCGGGATAAAAATCCCACTTAAAATCCTGAACAGGGTGTCACCACTGGTGACAACAGCTGTCCCCAGGAGATTGCCGTTGGGAAAACCTTGAAGAGAGCGCACTCATTCCCTTGAGCGGGGCTTCACAAAATGTGTTTCGAGGCCACCTACCGCAGAAGCACCTGGGGAGCTTCCTGGGCGCATTCCTACCCCCTTTTGTCAGGATCTCTGCGGGGACGGGATGGTGGGGGGCAGTGATGTGCTGTAAGTCTGACCAGCTCCCCAGGTGCTTCTGGTGCCCGGGGCGGGGGGCATTGGCGACTTTTGCCAAGGAGGTAGAGAGAGAAATGCTGTCGAATCAAGGGAGCAAGTTTCCTAAACCCTCAGTACTCGGACTGTGGTCCAGGGCCTTCATAGACATCACCTGCGACTTGTTGGGAATGCAGCATCTCAGACCCCGCCCCAGACCGACTGAGTCAGATTCTGCATTTTAACCAGATCTCCGGGTAATTCGCAGGCATATTTAAGTTTGAGAAGCATCTTAGGATAAATGCAGTGTGTGGTTAAAAATAGGCCCTCCGACGTGTACAGACAGAATCTTCTTACACTTATTTATATCCCGTCTCCACATCAGAAAGAGGTTTGAGGAAAACACTGCAATTGAGCACAGAGTTATGCTCTGAGCTCCCTGACGAGGAAGGCACATTCAGCTAGTGAAAAACATGAGCTCAGCAAAAACAAAACTTTGTCCTCGTGTTGAGTTCTAGTGAGATTTATGTTACTTATGGGGAACACTGGAAAACAGTAGGCAGTGTCAGGCAGTTTTGCAAAAGATGCGGAAATGTTTCTCATGTGGGCAGCCCTTCTGGACTTGCTACAAGAAGAGCCATTCAGTATTCTGCAAAGGTGTCAGGCTCTGTTCCAGACACAGATGATGCAGCAGCGAACAAGACTAAGACTGTCTCTTCATGGACCTAACGTCCGGGTTGGGGGGTGTAGAAGACAAACACGAATGTCACAATCTCCATAATACATTGTCAGTGCCATGAAGGAAAATGAAACAAGTTACAGGGTTGTTGAATTTTCTGTTTCATTTTGCTTCTTGGAGGTTAACATTTTAATTTTGTTACCATGCATTTGTGGGAAAAAGTCTGGTCACTTGATTGGCTCACGTTGAAAGTGGAAGCGCAGAAAAGTTAGAAAAATGATATTCCCTTCAAGGATACCTTCTGGAAGTCTTCACCATGGTATGCACATTGAGAAGGGGAGGAAGGGAAATCAGCAGGTCTCTGATTTTCGCCATCACAGGTTATACTAGGTGCTTTAGGAGGTGGCCGAGGAAATTGAACCAGTGTACCCATTTTATAGATGAAATGGAGGCCCAGGGAAGAGGGAGGTAACTTGCCTCAGGTGGCAGAGCTGAGATTTGACCCCAGGCTTGTCTGATTGCACAGTCCTTGCTTCTAAGCACCTGGAGGCCGCGCTCCTGCCTTGGGAATGTTCTCTGAACCTTGCTTGGTTTGCTTGGCCCGGTTATGCGCAACAACAAAGGTGTCTTGAGGGGACCAGGAGTGTGCGAGGCGCCTCACAAAACTAAACAGTTTTGCTGGTTAGGTATTAGCGCAGGGACCCTGGTCACATAGCTTGGAAGAGATTGAGCCAGGATCCCACCCGGATAAGACCACTACTTAGTGATCTTCTTGATTGTAATTAAGAGAACTGAACCGGAGGAAGCTTTTACTTCAAGGTGGGGAACTTGCTTTGTGGCTCTTTTGTGCAAAACAAGATGACAAATATGGGCTTTGAATTGCTGGTGCTCTGGGAGTCTGGACAGTTGCAGTTTGAGAGCTGCCTCTCTTGGAGCCTCACAGTGGTGGAGTGGGTGGGCCTGTGCAAGAGCCATTTTATTCCTGGTTCCGGTCCTCAGTAGTGACCTGTGACCGAGAAAGACCAGCAGCCCTCAGCACACAGAACCTCGAAGCATGATTCATGAAATCCCTTCGGGCTCTGGCAAGTTGAGACAGACTTCAGGCTTCCAGGAGTTTAAAAGTGTGGTTACCAAGTCATCCCTGTTCTAATTTGGGATGGCTTTTTAGTCCAGTGTGCATTTTACTAGCTCTGAAAAAATCCTCTGAGGACAATTATGGTGCCTGTATTCACCTACAGAAATAGGAAGCTGATCTCTTGTGCAGGGGGGAGAGGAGTCTCCGTGGTGCAGGTGGGCAGTAATGGAAATGCATGCACTGGGCCTTCAGTGCGCCACCCACATGGACCCCTCATAACCACCCGGAAGGGTTGGCACCCTGACCCATCTCCTTTTCTCATGTCCTTTATGGGCACTCGCATATGACCTTGAAAAGTAGCTTGGTGGTGGGGTGCCTGGGTGGTTCAGTTGGTTGAGATCCAGCTCTTGATTTCGGCTCAGGTTGTGATCTCAGGGTTGTGAGATGGGGCCCCGCATTGGGTCCCACACTTAGTGTGGAATCATCTTGGGATTCTCTCTTCTGCCCCTTACCCGAGCTTGTGCGTGTATGTGCGCATGCTCTCTCTCTCTCAAATAAATAAATAAAATCTTAAAAAAAAATAACTTGGTGGTAACCCATTTCTCAGATGAAAAATGAGCAGCCCAGCAAGCTTTAGGACTCGAACTCAAGGTTCACAAATGTAGATGCCTCCAGGGATGGGGCAGGTCACAGACACGTGGAAAGTGGCCAAGAATAAGTGTGACGAATGTGTGGGCAGGCCACTGGCTGCTGAGTACCTGCTCCCTTAAAGAGAAGGAGCCCAGCTGACGGAGAGAGAGTGCAGGCTTTGGAGCAAGCTTGGCCAGTGCTACTAGGAGTGAGTCATTTAACTGCTGTGTGCTTCAGTGTCCTCATTTGTATAATGGGGGTAACCACAACATCCACTTCATGGGGTTCGGAGCACTGAATACAGATGGATGACCCAGTGACCTCTGTTAGTAATTATTATTCACGTTACCTAAAACATTCCAAGCCACGTTTTAAAATTTAAAAATACACAGTGCAGATCTGGAAAATAATATGCGAAGTGAAAGAAGCCAGACACAAAAGCCCACATATTATCCCATTTATATGAAATGTCCAGAGTCGGCAAATCCATAGGGACAAAGAAGTAGATGAGTGAGTGGTCACCAGAGGATAGGGGTTGGGGGTGGGAAACTGAGGAACAAGGAGGGATTGATGAATGAGTGCAGTTTCCTTTTGGGGTGATGAAAATGTTCTGGAACTAGATAGAGGTGATGGTTGCACAAACTTGTGAATGTACTAAGAACCATTCAGTTGTAGGGTGATGTTGTATGGTCCATGAATTATACCTCCATTTAGTAAAAATTCGCTGTAGTTCGAGCAAAACAAATGAGAGTCGGGGCAGCCTGTGGTCCCTGGGTTGGGGTTGGTTGGGAGGGGAGAGAGGAGAGCAGAGTGGGCACCACGTGCCGGGGGTGCTGAGAGGCTAGGCTGGGATCCCGGCAGAAGCCCCGCGGGGGGCCTACTCCGGATACTGGGTATGAGCCAAGCAGGCCACAGGGGCGCGTACAGGCTTGGCCCAGAGCTGCGTCACCCCCGAGTGTGTACACTGGGCAGTCATTGCCCTGGACTGACAGGGTCTGGGGACTGTTGGCCTTTTAGTGTCACATGTTTTGATTGGTTTTCAGTTCCTTCCTTGCTGTCACAGGTCACATCTCCACCGCCTCCGTCATTTGGGACCAGGGAGCTCCAACATGTTTATTTAACACCCCCCCGCAATGCCCTGAGAGCCAGCCTCTGGCCTCTGCAGGGACTGAGGAAGGGGCTGAAGCCATTTCCAGTAGAGATGGGGATGAGGAGGCCTTTGGCTGCTCAGAGGGGCTTGTGGGGAGGAGCTGGTTTGGGTTCTGGTGAGTTCAGGAAAGAGACCTTCCAGGTGCACGGAGTTTCTGGGCTCTTCCACCACCTGGCATTGGTGCTTTTCCTGCTCTGTGTCCACCCCTCCTCTTCACCCTTGGCGTGTAATCCTCTGCTGATCTCTGTGTGCTTGGGGAGGCCTGGCCGCAGGGGGTTCTGTCTCCCAACCCAGGCTCGGCTCTGCCTGAGTCTTGCTCATAAGTCCCCTGATTGGTCAGCCTTGGTTTGCCTGTAAAAGCTTAAAGTCATCCTAAACGTGTCCTAACCAAAACGTGTGGGAACTGCGTGGATGAAAGTAGGTGTTCCAAACGGAGGGGCGGAGCTGTGCTAGGCTCCCACAGAGGGCCATGCCCTAATCTCTGGCACCTGTGGCTGTCAGGTTCCGCGTAAGGGAGAGTTCTGGTAGCTAATCAGCGGCGTTTAAATGAGATTCCCCTGGGTTATCGTGGCTAGATGAAAGACAGGGATCCTTTAAATAGGGAAGATAGAGGCAAAGGCGCTAGAGCGAGTCAGAGAGCGATGTGATAGAAGATTTGACCCAAAGATGGAGGGGCCAGGAGCCAAGGGATGTACACACAGCCTTGAGAAGCTGAAAAAGGGGGTGGACTCTTCTGAGAGCTTCCAGAAGGAACGCAGTCCTGCTGACACCTTGCTTGTAGCCCAGTGAGACCTGTGTTGGACTTCTGACCTCCAGAACTATAAGATTAAAAAAAAAGTGTTTTAAATCTGTCGAAATTTGTTGTAGCAGCAACAGCAACCAATAGAAAAACGAAGGGGTAGCTACTAGCCTCTTCATCCACTGAAAAAACTAGCTTGTGAGGTTTCCTTATATCGTTTCCATTTGCGGCCTTAAATCAATCCCCACTGTGCTCTGA